GAACACGCTTCGTCAGTGACATGGCCACCGTTATACGACACCTCAATGTAACTGTTACTGCTGCTCTGATTTCCTCTACATGGCTGTTGACAGTCACATGTATTAATGGCAGCCTATTGTGAGTCAGACCAGCCTATTCCAGGGCATTACTCTATATCCAAATCAGTTTCAGTAAAAGGTGAAATAGTAGAGAGCCAGGATAAAGACATGATTCACCAGCAGACACTTCACAGCTGCCTGTTTTTTTTTTTAAACCAACATGACAATTCTTGAAACCTCGTGATTGGCTATCAATCAGTCATCAGTCCAAAAATGAAAAGTGGTGCGTAGGCCATAAGATTAGACTGGTAACACAAAGTGACACTATTTATGTCAGGACATAAAGTATGCAGTATATAGTAATAGACCAATTATAATTAAGGCTGCATGTAATATACCCATTGTTATGTGGCACCATAAAAACACGAGCGTCATTCACTTATAAATACATTTAATCATATCTGGGGTTTGTTCTTAGTTAAAAACAGAATCCATGCACACTTAGTGTTGACATGGTTGTATAATATATGTACAACATTTAGATATTGTTGCCTTAGGCCCACTATGCCCAAAAGAAACACTAAAGGACCATCTATATTCAATAAACTCTCCAGAGGCTGGACGTGACAGCCAGAGGATGTCTCTGTCCATCAGCAGGTGCAGCTGTAATGAGTTAGGCTAACGAGCTGCTACGCTCTGTGTTAACATCATGTTCTACGATATCAGGATTGTCTCCCCCCTCTTCAGAACTGAGCGTCAAACAAACTGCTATATCTGCTGTGAACGGGGACGTCTGTGATATCTGGAGGTAAAAAAAAAGGTGACTCATATTAAGAATTACTGTTGGGATAGATGTTAAGCAATTTTATATTTCTGGACTATGTGTATGTTTACTAGATTAATTATAGTGCTATATATCCTATAGGGACAGATCATCATTTAATTATGTTTGACATAAAGCACAAATGTAAGTTGACCACTGGTCTATACATTAGTCTGGTTTTCACACACTTTTAGTAAAAACTTCAATTGCAATCCACTGTCTTGTACCTTTATTGGAAATGTGTTTAGCTCGTTGCATAGCTGCTCAGCAACACACACAAGGGTAGAAGAATTCATCTGAGAATCATTACTGCAGGTATGTAGATACCTTAAAAGCAGCTTTAACTATTTTTATAGGATAGTGTGTTTGGTTTGGAAAGTATGGTTGCTTCTAGAGCTGGCAGGTATATGCTCGCAGCATTGTCATTGCAATGCGCGCATGCAGCAACACCGCAGGATATACAATTTCAAGTAAGGCAGTTTAATTAAAATACGTCGTGTCACTTTAATTTGCTGGTGTGTACAAAAGTTCAACTCGCACAGCTGTAATTTTCCATGACTAATCTACAAGATGAAGTGTGTCTGATACAACATATTTACACTTCTTTTAAGTGTTCATGGCCACACAACAAGCAAAGCATGCCAAACTGCAGTCGGTTGTACAACAGCTCTTTAACATGTTTTTCAAGTGAATTCATGAGGGCCATACAGTCAGGGGAGTGAAACCATGGCAACCTCTGCATAGGGTGCAAAACCTATATTTATTACGTGTATCGAAGTGAGACAGGACCTATTACACCGACATACACATGCCAGCATGTGATCGCAGGAATTAAATCCTGTAAATCTTAATTGGGGTCCGTCAAGGTTGGGTTTGGGACAACATAGGATTTTATTGCAGGCCAGGATAAAGGATGTTCACTGAAAAGGGATAAAAAAATGGTGAATTGCAATTATTTAGGCCAGGAAGATCATGACATGAATTTGCACATCCTCTCATGGCGTCACCAGAAAAACTCCTTCACACTCCTCCTTCACTAAACAGCTTAACCTGCTCAGCGAGCCACAGAAGAGCTGAACTCTAAAGAAATGAATGTATTTACATTTAACTTCTAACATAAAAATTAACTACTTAACAGCTTCAATGGTCATCATCGAACTCCAAAATAATTGTTTAAATCTGATTTATGTGATATGTTTCATGAATAATAAGGGCACGTGGCGAAAGGTCAAACAGTGAGTCCCACAGATTATTGGCTTCTTTGACTGAGGAACAACTACACAACAAACAGAACATTTCATATCTTGTATGGGACAGACACACATACAGCTTAACGTGCACTCTGCTCCAGCAAGAGAAATAGTCTTGTAAAGTTTACTGCATTTTCTACCCATGCTTCCAGTGTGCTAGCAGCGACTCACACGTGCACAGACACATGAGTGCTGACACACCCTCCACATTTTGATAGCATCTACCTAGAGCATGACAAGGCAACCTTGAGTCAAACACACCCAGATTGGTTTGTCTTAACACCAAGTTCTAGAAACATCCACGCAAGCTACAAACAATACAACGAGTGAAGGAGCGACGGTTATGTAGAATAAAATGTGCATGTGTACGTTTGGAGGTTTTTATTGATTCTTTATAGTGACTAACCCAGGGTCTGTAGATAAAAATAAAAGGTAGCTTTGTAATAGCTTCTTTTCAAACAACCAACGAGAATTACAAGTAAAAGAAACAATGACATTTCATTTCGAAAGCTTTGTACATTTTGTACATTACACTTAGAAAGGTGACATGTTGTACATGGTGTAGAAATGCGTACAAACGGGTCTGCGCTGATTTGTTTTGTTCTTCTTGTAAAATTCACTGAGCAGAATCTACCAGTTTGGACAGGTTGATGAGGCAGCATTGAGACAGGCCAGGTAAAGATATGCCAAAACACATTAGAACTGCAACTATATGCACATTGGCAAGCTATAAAAGCTACTACTACTAATTGAATATAGAGATCAGTATTGCTTTCATTTTGTATCCATTTCTATGAGTTCAGTGTTTGTTATTGTTTATCTTTAATCAATCCGCTTATTTAGAAAAGTATGTATTGCTGTCGGTATATTGGCATTGAAAAAACTATCTCAATTACTACATTCGCCAACATTATAACTTGTTTTTTTATACAGAAAAGCCTAGAAAAAAGCTTCTAAAAAGAGAATGATATTGGTGAATGGGTTGAAATAGGCTAGTTTAAATAAAAAATAAGTAACGACGAACAACATATTTAGTGCCAGCTATCAGGCTTCACTACCAAGGCTTGATACCCACAGAAAAACTTCAATCACAACACTGTTAACAAGATAATAATTGAGAGATGACAATGTAACTTATTCGCTACATGTCATTATACACACTCACCACGTCTGTAGATGAGGTGTAGGTGATATAATCAGACTCTTCGTGTTGGATAACTTCTTACTGTGATCGCATTACCTACAGCTAGCACAGTTAGCATACAGCAGAGGTGCTGTTCAGGAAGCTCAGTGTCAAACAGGGTCAGCAGCTCGACTGAGATCATGCTACAACCTGTTATTACTTAAAGAATTACCATTGCTTTACACTGTGTGGCCTAGAAGAGAACACTGTGATATATATTCACTCAATTCACCACTTCATCTACATAATATTCAACACTCGTCATGATATACGACTCTTTTAATCTGCAACTACACTTGTAAACAAAGGGACAAAAGGACGCCCTTAAGGCAGACAGATTTGCCCATATTTACTGCTCTTAGTAAGAGGGCATCTGAGTTTTCCAACAATGTCTCACACATCATGGCAAAATAAGGGCGGTTGTATCAGGCCGACAAACCAGAGTTAACTTTGCACTAACTGGAGGAAACACAAGCCCAGAGACACCGTAGTGACACAGCCTCTGCCCAACCAACTCTGAGCTTCTCTTGCTCGGCCATCCATCTTTAACTATTTCTTAAGAGAATAATCAACATTCTATGACAAACCACTGCAGGTTCAGTCCCCAGCAGCAAGAGTTAGTGACCCCAGGGAGTTATCCGAATGAAAAGATTGCCTCCTGGCTGCATCTGCTTCCTGACCCCTTACGTCAACTTTGTCTTATTTTATATATGAAGAAAAGTCTGCGTTCGGACAAGCACAGTCACCTATCAGGGTCATACCAAGACACAACTGTGGAGAGTGAATGTTTAAGCCCCAAGGTTTGCCTGCCTGCGAAAGAGTGAGAGGAGAGGCAATGGCTAAGATGTTTAGCATGATAATAAAAGGGCTATATTGAAAATTCTCTATGAGTTATGAAATAAGATAAGGTTTTATACCAAAAATGTGTAAAAAGCTTTTCTATTAGTCTCATTTTTCTGGCTTGGGCTGCATCCAATATGCTGAGTGCATTACAACTTTCAATTGAGATGATCCTCTATAAAAGAGTAGCTCTTAAAATTGATTTCCAATACTTCCTATCTAGCCCTCTCAATTATAGCCTGTCTAGAACTTTGGAGCATAATATGGTTAACAAAACACTTAATTATTGAAAACTGTCATTTACAGCAGAAACATGGGTGTGTCCCCCGTGTACTCTGTGCTAAGTGATGTGGAGGTAGCTTTGATGGAAGGTTACAGAGCATATTGATTTTCAGCTAAGGAAACAGACGTTAACCTCCCTGCAGGTGAACTGAAGCTCCATTTCATACTTGATAAATAAATGAATAAATACATCAGCAATTTTTATATATTTGTACTGGAGTCATTTTTTCAGTAATTTTTGAAGCAAGAAAACAAAAATATCGCCTTGTTTTTACTTCTCAAGGTGAGGTTTAGCAGCTTTTTTGTCTCATGCGATAAGCTTAACACTGATGGTCGGACAAAACCAACAATTTAAAGACATGTTGTGGGATGTAGAGGCAATCCTTACTATTTTTTTTTACCAAACAATTAGTCAAAACAATAATCCGCTGATTAAGGATATGATCATAAGTTGCAGCACTGAAGTGAACAAAGCTTTTCCACACAAAGTTTACTTTGTCAGAAGCAGAACTAGAGGAATACAACCCAACAATCTAAAATGTTCAGTATATCCAGAGAGGATGAATAAAGCTAGAAAACTTACCAGGCGGTTTTCATCGAACACCTCCAGCAGCAGACGATGCTTCCTGGGATCAACCTGAAACATAATATAGACTGTTTGTATTTATGATATAAAGACCTCATGGTTAGATAAAATATCATACACAATACATTGATATAGTTTCCTGTAATGAAATGCCACAAAATATCCCCTGGCAAAAAATGGTGACATGCATACATATTTTTTAAGTTTCACTTACTTCGAAAAAGAATTCTTCATTCCATTTTGGGTCCAGTGTCTTCATGTGATGTGTGATGGAAAGGATAATAAAATGTAAATTAGATAGGAGTTAACTAATAAAACAAGTCTTACTGCAAATGTGAACATCTTACCTTTTTTAATGTTTTAGTCTGAAGACTTGTGATTTCTCCATTAATTGGGTCATACAGGGACAGTCTAGTATACGGATCACTGCAAGAGAAACACATTTAGACTCAGGTGTGGCGTTGGCATGAATCATATGTAGAAATGGCCATGGTCTACTTTGTGCTCTTTATGTGGTGAGAGTGGTTCATTTGCCATGAGGTTACTTAATATTTAAGGGAGGTCAAACATTAACATAATGATTCCAGCTTCTCTTTGATGGATACAAAATAGACTGTAATTGGTACTTTGACAGTTTGAGACACTGTGACGTGCGTTAAAAACACACACATCAATAACTTCACATTATCCATTACCTAATCTTTAAGCCACTTTAGTCCTGCAGCAGTGTTGTGGCATTAGTGATATACTAAGGGACTGCTGTCACATTAAAGTGATGCTAATACGGCAATTTGGGTTATTTAAAGCATTAAAACATGTCTTGAATTGTTAAGCATTAAAGCACGACATCCACATTTCAAAAACTTTAAAATTGGAAAAGAGATTTCAATCTGTTTAATAAAGATTTAACACATTCTTAAGTTAATTGGATGTCACTGTCAGATTGCTTTTAGAGGTTAGGAATAACTTATCATAAAGTAGTCTACAAGTAGCACACAAAAAGTGCCAAGGCCGTAAACATTAGGAAATTAAATGAAGTCAACACATGACATTTGGAGAGCTGTTTTTTGGTTGAGTCCCTGGAAACATATCACCATGATTTCAACTAACCAAATCAAAACAAATGTACTAAACTTCAAGAGGTAGGGGTTATTCACACATAAATTACAAGAGGATTTTCTTTCCTTTTGATACCAAATGCTTGTTGTGAAAACTGCATAAATGTGTTTTGAGCCTTTAGAGTGCCAACTGCTCCGAGCCTTGGCAGCGCAGACCTTTATTACGGGAACACAACATGTAATCTTTTCTAAATCAACGTTCACGCCTACTAGCCTCATATCAAAGCCGCAATTCTATAACAAATACTTTGTTCTTACAGTCAAATAGGAAGGTGCTGGAAGTCAACATTTTGAAAGGGAAGAAAAGAAAAGTGAGAAAATAAATAAATTATTAAACAAGGCATGAAATAAATGTTATACAAAAGGGACAAACCTGTATAGATTAGCTTGAGAGGGGGACTAAAAGAGGATGAGGGAATAAGTATTTAGTTCATTTGAAGGCTGAAGTAATTCAGGAAGGGGTCTACATACCTACGTTTTCAATATTTAGACAGGACATAATGCCCCTCAGCTACTGAGCGAGTATCATCTCTACATTTTAGTATACAGTAACTGCTCTTCTGTTCAAAGAAGAAGCGAAGGACAGTGTGGAGGGGTTTTATTGGAGCCATGCGCACCTCCTTGTCTCAAGTGGTACCAAAAAGAGCAACCACAGAAATTGGTTATTGATCCAAATTGAGGTTTTGGGAAGATGTCCCTCGAGTATATCCTACGATAAATAAAAATGGAACCAGATATAATAAACACCTATAGAAAATAAGCAAAATCTAAATACAATTAGAAATCAACTAACCTGAACATAACCCACGTTTTTATTGAATCTTGCATTCTAAAAATATACACCACATTACTTTGGGTCTTAATAGGATTTTGCAGATAATAGAGGAACACAAACGGATCCATGGTTAACTGGCAGATGGCTCTGACGTACATGTGCTGCTTGTTCGTGGAAAAGACATTAGTCGTCACCTTCCTGTCTCTCCACACAATGGTTAAGAGGATTGCAATTTTGGCCAAGTCTGACAGTCCATCTTTACTAACAAGCTGGATGAATAACGTAGTAAACCAAAGGGAAAGGTAACTAGACATGCACAGTAGAACTATGACTTTAAATTTTATAGTAACTGAAATAGAAAGCATCACATAAAAGTGATTTAATATTAATTTAAGTTACCTTTGGTTCCAGTTTATCAAGTAAGGGGATTGGTTTGTTTTTGTCTCAAACTAATCAGTGTACATTATATATATTTGGGCTTTGAGCTGTTGACTGAAAAATACAAGCTATTAGATATATAAGAAGCTATATTGGGGTCAAGGAAATTGTGACAGATAATTTCACTTTTTCCGACAGAAAACAATTAAAAACAATATTTAGTAATGTATTGATGCATTTACAGTTTAACTTCTATATTGTGAGTATTTGCTGCTTTTGTAATTGTTTTTTAGGACTGTTGATCAGTTTCTTAGCTGCTATAATGTCAAACCTGTTTATAGAAAAAGAATTGCCTGGTTAATTGCTTATCATAATAAAAGTTCCAGCCTATTTCACAAGTTATACATCACATTTAAGTGTCCACTTTCTACAGCTTACCTGGCTCCAAGTATATCTTTTTTGGCCAGCCCAATTCCAGCAACTACTTTCACTTTTAGGACTCTGGATTCTCCCTGAAATAACAACAAAAAAAACACTGATGAGTTTATGAATATTATAATGACATAAAGACAGAGATGGACACAGAGTACAGTCACACAACATTCACAAAACAAACAACATAAAGACCCTCAAATAGGGTAGTTAAGAAAAATGTACATGTTTTAACTATTAGTTATATGTATAACTACTGATGCAATATAGTGTTATCAAAGCTGGTAAAGGTGCAGCTAGTTTTAATTACCCTGTATGCTGCAGGTTAGCTTGTGAATTTTACTCCGGGTGCAAGTAAAGTCTTTCTTAAGTATCTCTGAATTGTAATGGAGAAGAAGTATATAGTATCAAATAATTCCCTCAGAATTGTACTTAAAGTACAGTACTTGAGTAAATCTACTTAGTTACTTTACACTAATGAATACAAGGAATGGCAAGGTACAGGATGATCAAATAAATGGTAGTAAACAAAATTAGATTAATGTGATTCACTATCACGTGAAGCATTTACATCCCCAGAACAATCAAGGTTTACCGGATGACGTAACATCCTGATAAGACATTTCTCATCTACCAACACAATAAAAGCGTTTTACTGTACACTTGGTGAATCATCTTGAGATTTCGCAATCATAACACTGAACAAAAGCAAAAATTGGTGAAAGTTGTGCGAATATGTTTGTTTTATCGAGATAATTCAGAGTTTGTCAGTTGTGTGCGTGTGGAGGGAATGGAGAGGCGTTAACAGCCCGATAGCCTGTTGTGTTTCCTGGCAGAAAAAGTGTACAGCTAGGGCGCTCTTATTTGATAGCATTAGCTGAGAACTAAATCTGATGAATAACATCAACAAGTAATACAGGTTTCCTACCAAAACACTCCTAACATCGCAAGTTAACCAGTGGACGTAGGTACGTTAACGTCAGTTAGCTCGCTAGTTAATCCCCACCAGTATTTAGTTAGTTAGCTCCTTGTTAGCCTCAACTAGTTAGCCAGCTGGCTGACGATGTAGTCACATGAACAGGCTCTTTATTAAAGGCTAGTAAATGTAGTTTACCTCATCTATGTGAAGTCCTCGCATCTGTGGAGAAAGTGCAGCCATACTATCCTCGCCCTTCTTCCTCCAAGGGAGCGACAACAACAAGAAGAGGAACCCAGAAAAAGACAGTTGTCCGGTAACGTTAGACTCCCGTGGTGTTTAGCTCGCCTCTGTTATGCCCTCTGTGTGTTTACGCTGGGAGAAACCGTGAACCTGACCAAGTAGCAATCTGTGACACCGTCGTCACTCACTGTATCCATCCTCCTCCTTTTCCTCCTGTGTTTCCTCCTTCCTCCTTCCTCCTCTTGTTCCCTTCTTCCTGTCACTACAGTCTGAGAAAACCCAGAAAGGACACTGAACGCAACATCAGTCTTTCCTTGAATATATTTTCCACACTCGTGGTGCAAGATAGGAGTGTGCAGATCTTACTTAACGTACTAAATTAAACTAGAAACACCATAGTCTAAGAAACAGTAAATTACAAGTCAAAATACAAAATGTTATTTGAATAAAACCACAGCAGTTCTATAATCAAAGTTTAGCATACAGTGGTGTAATGTATTGAAGTACATCTACTCAAGTATTGTACTTTACTATGATTTTGGGTTACTTGTTGTACTTTACTTGAGTATTTCTATTTTATACTACTTTATATTTCTACTCAACTGCATTTTACAAGGAAATATTGTACTTTTACTCCACTACATTCATCTGACAAAATTAGTTACTAGTTACTTTACAGATTCAGATTGTTAAGATTGTTAATAAAAATATATAAATAAACTATGATATAAAAGTATAGGTTAAAATATTCAGCGGTAGTATAACGTTGTTTAAATTAGCTCCACATTTACAAGCTGTGATGAACACATTAATGCATCAATAATCATCATCCAGTGACTTAATATATAGGATTCTGAATTGAGCTACAACGCTCAATAAGTAATAAGTAATATTTTAATGCATGACTTCAAATGAACTATTTTTACACTATAGTTCTACTTTTTCTATGCCTGATGGCAGAGAATGGGTGGGGTCATTGTAGAGATTGCATTTTTTGGTATTGATAGAATGTTCTTTATTAGTTTTATTATTAATTTACATTATTCTGTTTTTATCAAATGCTTGTAAGAGTATATATTGTGTATTATTATAATATAACTATATACAGTATGTAGCTAGATTCAATAAACTAGCAGATAATACTTTCAAACCATGTCTGCTTAGGGTTTGTATCACAGTTTAGATCTTGCAATTGGACGCAATAGAACGGCTTACTCCCAAATACAAAATACAACTTTTCTAGTTTCTGAAAGGGGGTTTCCTACGGCAACTGAAAGCACTGATTGCATGGAAGTTCAAACCTCAGAGTAAAAACACTTCTCAATAATGATCACGATTCATGTAGCAGCTACTGGAACCTATTGTGTACAGCCATAGTTTAGGCGTGTATACAAGAGCTCTGGCGAAACATAAACCGTACATGGTCACAAAAAGACAGATGTCATCAATCAAACAGTTTTTCTCGGACGAAGCATGGAGCTGGTGTTCAGTACTGTTGCACAAACAACAAAGCAGTGAAAGAGACTTTAAGTGCCCCAAAGCTACCGGCTAGTTCTGGTTTGCAGAACAAGTTTATATGTTGTAACAGCTCCTCACACAGCAAGACTAACAACACATTTAAATTAGACATCTTCAGTTTATAAAACTCGTCTTGCTCAAACTTGACCAGCTATCAAAGGTAGGTGCTGATGATGTTATAATGGCATTCATTCATATAATCCTTCAAGTTTATATTATACTTTAAAGGAATTGTATTAGTATCTTTACATTGTTTTTTTTAATTGAAGTATGGATCTGAGTATCGTTATTGCCTTATCTCTGTCAGAGCACTGCTTTCACACCATCAAACTTGACAACACTCCTGATGGTGCAGTCACAAGAATGTAGCACCCATATTAACACATTGAGTAAAGCAAAAACCTTCCAAAGGACGAAATCTAGAGCTTTCATTTATGCTGTATGGTTTTGGAGTGCTCCCTTACATTTTTATGAGAGAATATATCCTAAATCAAAATGTAGACATTCTAAACCTTTATTTAGCTATTAGTGTTATTTCGTTTTTGAAAATAAAACGAAACAGGCCCAATTTAATGGTTTTATTTCAAGATTCCCCCTTGTTCTGATGTTGTTTTTTCTCAGTAATAATAGCGTGCGCTTTGTCCTCCATGACCCTCTTCACCCCCCATGGTCTGTTTGGGTGTGTGATGTGTGTGTGTGTGTGTGTGTGTGTGTGTGTGTGTGTGTGTGTGTGCGCGTGTGCAATGGCATAAAGGTTAATGATTGCTGGTCTCAGGACAATACTGAATACTGAAGTGATTCAGTCTTCTTTACTGCAGTAGTTACACCTCAAGTCAATAAGGAAATGACTATAAATACAATTTGCCTCCTTTTTCGTAAAGGTGTTTTGTAAAGTCTCATATCAACAAATGCCTTCTTCTTACTAAAGTAACTTTTGGTGTGAAATTTCAAAAGTAAGAAGCATACAATCACTATACAGGCACTATACTTGTTTTTCTGTAAATATTAAAGAAACACTGACTCGGGTTACCTATGTACATAAAAATGTTTATTAGTTTTAAGAAAGTCTTTAAAAACCAGTATTAACAAGCACTTCCCCTTATAAAAGCACTAGCTAAAATGCAAAACATAACAGCAGAGGGCAGTACTACAGCTCTGAACAATGAGAGGAAGGGTAAACTCTTCTTAAACACAAACATCAGTGCTAACCAAGTAAATGTTTGCTTTCACAGACACAGTAAGTGAAACTATAGCATAAATAAACAAAAATGTTTGTCTAATTTGCTCAATATTAAATTATAATCAAATTGAGATTATATATTACAATAATATAATTCTCTTTTACAGATATTTAAAGGTTTTATTTATATACTGTATGCATAAAGAATTCAATGTACCGCTTTTGAACTATATCATGACATTAATATTTAACCATAGAAGTATGGGTAGTTATATTTACACATTTTAAAACGTGTGTGCAAATAATAATTTCCTGCAAAATCTAGTCCTGAAAGGTTTTGAATCTCAAGTTTTTTTTTTTACCACATTAAAGAAATCATCTGTTAAAACGAAGTACCATATATGATACGTGGTAATATGCTATGATAACAGTGCAAGTCAGATTATCGTGAATTCACAAGATGATATGGTTTGCAAGGTTACATCTTCTGTACAAAAACACACTCTAAATGAAATATTAAAAATAAAAACAAAGTCACACCCTCAATCTGTACAACAAATAAAGTTAGTGCGACCAACAATACAAACACACCCTAACACAAACAAACTGAATAAATAACAGTGATTTTTGCCTCCATAAAAACATATTAAACTTGCTGCGTTAACAAAAGCATCAGCAATAGTAAACAAATAAATCTTTAACATTGTCCTGATGTACTAATTATATAAAGAAATGTATTCCAGTGCTGCAAATGTCACAAATGTTTCACTTATTTTCCATATTATTATTCACATTACAGAATATATTTCTCATGGCTGTTATCGAACATAACCCAGTGAGTCACCCCAAGATTTAAGTGCATGTTATTGCGGTTTAAATTTTAAGGTTAGTCTTTGGTATGGACATAAGGCTCAGAAACTCTCTTCTTCACACACAGCTCATCACCAGTGTAACTCACGACTTTCACACTGAGTCAGTTTTTAGCTGTTTTGCCGTTTTGTTTGAAATCCTCAGGCCATGTGGTGAAACATGTTACTCCCCCAAACCAAACACAGTGCATTGATGTAAAGAAATACGTTTTACAGATTGTCAGAGCAGAGTGACGAGTGCTACGTTAGAAAGTACATTTCTGTAAGTTCTTTAGAGTTCAATTCTGTGAAATCTTATCTATCTACTGTCCATTTTATTATTTGCAGACAAAATCTTAAACTTCTACCCCAAAAGAGTACACAAGGCAAATAACACATCTTTTGATTAACACAAGAATCTTATTTTAAAAGTGCTGTTTAATTTTTAGGTGAAAGGTTTCCTTTTTGAAATTCTTGCCCTTTGTATCTATACGTGGTTAGGAATCTAGACCTGATCTTTCACTGGTTCCTTAGTAAATTTTCTGATTTTATTTTTATAAAACAATTTCTTTCTTTTTTCAAACTTTTGAAATACAAAACAAAGTGCAAAAGAGGTCTTACAAGCTTTCCAAGCTTGAAATTAAATTAAGGTTTGATTCTGGTGATAACTATGGGGAGGTTGACTTAGCTTTTCAAATCAATTGATTCATTCTGAGAGGCACAACGTCGTGGATGATAGTCATCCACAGGGATATGAAAACCAGATTAAATTAAAGTTAACGCATTTCTCTCTTCCTTTTATGGTTCTGAAACTACCAAAGTAATAATACATACTCTTCATGTAATCCATCAAAGTAAATAATTAGCGATATGATCATATAAAATTATAAATAACTTAAACATTCAGAATGTATTTATTACTCTCCATGCCAAATCTAGCAGATCATTAGAATATATTAAATGGATAATTTTGGTTAAAATGTGTTTCTATAAACCGAGTGTTCACTTCTTAATGTTAGTATATTTTGCAGCTAAAGAAACATTTAATTGAACCATATGACACCTAAAGCTCCTGCATAGAAAACGTTTTTTTGGTAAATCAAAATTGCACACAAATGTTTCAATGATGACATATTTGTTCAGCATTATATTTAAATATTTTGTACGTTATGCTTTAGTAAAGTAGTGCATGGAGTCTTAAAGATTTAAACAATAAACAATTATTTAAAGAAATATTTTTTGTAAATAATAACAATAATAGTCGTACAACCACATTTCTTTAGATCAAGAAATTAATTCCTCGTTTTTTTCATAAAAAATGCAACATATAAAAAAAAAAACCTTTCTTGTTCAATAACCTTTGTTTACTTATGCTCTTAATTAAACAAGGTGAGGCGTTGTCCTCTGAATAAAGGGAAATGACCAGCATTTTTCAGAGTGTTGCAGCATCATAGCAGTTCAGCCTGGCACTTGGACTGGACATACCTTGATTGGGTCCAGTGTTGCATTATAAAGTGTAAATGCCTGAAAAAAAAATAAAAAATGAACGACCATGGGTTGACATGTTCAACATGACGTAAAAAAACCCCTCAACCCATCAACCCTACAGTTGGTTGATCTTTGCTTTCAAGCCAGTCGAGTCCATTCGAATGTGCCGTGTCGCTGGTAATTTGCTGAAACAGCGCATCATTC